ATATATATATATATATATATATATATATATATATGAATCCAGAAAAAAGTGACAAACTCAGCCTTCAGACTTTTTCTTCCAACAATTTTTAAGATTCAGCAGATCTTCCTTTTTATTTTATAACTGCTTTGCAAAATGAAGAACACAATTCCACATAAGTCATTCAGTGGTGTCTACCAGGAAATGATTTGGTAGTATTTCTTCGCATACATTAAGCCCAAAGCCGATGAAAAACACTTTCGTAGCACAGGATATCATAAAACTTGCTATTCGAAAAATGCTTTCATCGCAAAACATAAAACAGCGAAAATATTCTAAAGCAAAGACTAAACTCAGAAAGGTTTCTAACATGAAGCTACGTTTATCGAAATGACTAAATCCAATACATTTTTTGAAGGAAATTGGCAAAATATGATAGAGAATTTGCAGACTGATACGAACCATAATAAACATGAAGAGATGAATATAAAAATACGTTTAAAAACTATTCTGTTTGATCATTTTTAACTGTTGCTTGTGAGATTATAAACTTCATGTTGCAAGTTTAACAATGGGAATGAATGCATCTGAACAAAATTTGAATTGTCTCAGTAATGTGACAAAAAGAAATGAAAATTAGTTTCGATTATTAGTTTCGATTAATCGTAAATATTGCAGACTACCATTTTACCTCCAAATGTAAATCCTTAAATCTCTGGAGGGAGAGGGACTCGCTCTATCGTTTAATGAATACTGAGATAAGCCTCAAATGCAAGTGCTTCTGAGGGAGGAAAGCATTCCGTATTGGAAAAAAAAAGAAACCTGTAGTTGTAGTTGGAAAAATGAAAGACTGGAAAATTCGATAATGAATAAAGATGAGCATAACAGCTTCAATAGAAAAAAAAACAACAGTAGAGTAGAGGTACTTTTAATTATACACATAAGGTGTTCTTAGTAGTCACTAACTTCTGATGATAAAACTGATATCTTCAAAACACGGAGGAAAGAGCAAACAATATGGCGATCAGATCCCACTCGGTTATTCCACCAACTAGCCTTATCTTTTTGCAATTCACATTTTTTCATTTTTTTAATATTTTTTCGCAATTCAAAGCCATGCGAAATATATGTAATGATCATAGAAATGAATCGCTTTCAGAAGACATAGAAATACAGCGACAGTCAACGGTTTTAAACAAGGCACTACAGCAACGAAGTGTCAGTGAATGGGACAAAATAATGACAAGCAGCACTGCCTTAAATACTAAAAAAAAAATCTATTTCACATCCTATGCAATGTGTCCTTTGCTAAGTATAAGAAATCCAGTGCTTTGACAATCCGATAAGGGAATGTCGTGAGAACAGGCAAATGCTGGTAATATTTCGGTCAGAAAATAGCACATAACAGCCGGCTTCAGTTGATGTATAAACTTTGACGGAAACTTACCCTTGAAAACACCCCGCTACTCGAAACTCCACATATACATTTCATCAAAAAACGATCGTTTCTAAAAGGTACTAAACTACCGGTACTATTACTTTCTTCTATGCTCTAAATCTAGCTGATTTAAAATTATTTTCTTCGATTCGAGAACTTATCGAGGTATCATGATGAAGAAGTAAATAGTAACCTTGTTTTTACCTCTTTTTTTAGGTTCTTTCTTTTCGAAAATCCGAAAAACTTATAGTGCCCATATAAAAAAATTCGAAAATTCCATGGAAATTTTACATTAATCACAATCACCAACATTACAGAGAAAGTTCAAACAGTTTTAACCAACCCAACCATCTCAGTCCATTTTTATTTGAAGAGAAAAATTTGGTTCATTTCACAGTCTGCAGTATGCATCTTTTTTCCATCGCACGAAGGTTGAGCACAAGAATTTTTCTGGTTGCACATTTTTTAACCAACAGAATGCTTCCGAAAATTTTTAAAATCGTTTTATAGATGGAAAAAAAAATAATAATAAAAAGACAACCATGAGAGTCAGGATACCATTAACATAAGCGAAATACATCTAGTAAAGACAACTTCAGCAAAAAACCAAGTTAAAAGATGTTATTAAGACAAAAAAGGATATATATAAAGACACCAAACCATTAGCTTTATGGAGATCTCGTCTGATTCATGTGAGATGAAATTGCAAGCAAAATATGTATAAATGTTGCGAACGGTAAAAGGAAATGCAGAAATGATGGATTTAAGAATGCACAAGCTTCATAAATATATCAGAAATCTGCTTTTGTTACGGGGTCACCGCATTATTCCTGGAAGCTTCAAAATCTGATGAGAAAAACGAAAATTTATTTCCACAAAAATTCGCGAAATAAATTTTCTGAATAAGCCGCACATTCGGATCTAACAAATTTCATCCCTCTGTTCTTCTTTTGCAATGCATAAAGTTGCAGAGGACGTTAAGGATGCACTTTGATCTAATAAGTCAAAACATGAATGTAAGTATGCATAGGTGTATATGCTATAACACCATGATAATTTTGTAGGAGCGAAATTGGATAACATTGGTTGTCTGCTAGCATAACTTTTGGAAATTATAATTCACATTACAATCGTCTATTTTTTCGTCTTGCGTTTGCTGAGTGAACGAATTAGGCGTTGTTCATCTATGCTGGGATTTTGCAATCCAAGTACAAATACGTATACAGATTCCAATGTAATTTTTGAATAGAACAAATACCTTATGTACTATCTAGATTCACTCTACTCAGGAAAATATAACTGCTCCCACTTTAACCAAATATTGAAATAATAAAAATCAGTGAATCAATATGAAAATGTCATGACACTCAGCTCAGCTGATTATCTAACGGTAATGCGATTGCACGTAAGACTAATAATGCTTAGGCTCCGGGAAGAAAACTCAAAGTGTCACTCGTCAAAAGTTCCGCTTAATTATAGGTTCGGAATATCCACGTGTACTCTTACCAGCTTAAAATCATTTGAAATCAGATATTCTAGCTAAGTTATTGAGAAAAAGAGGAAGGGAAAAAAATCGAAGATCAACATCATATAGTTTCCAAATCTTGCCATCCAGAGATATTACCTGTCTAGAAGAGTGGGCGGCATTGGTAGTGCAGTTCAGTTATTACTGCTCGAAATCCAGTATGGAATGCAGCTTCGATGAGCGGTATTCCTGAAAAAATTTTGTCCATTATATCTCTTTTCCCAAAAAGTTGTGGAAAGCCGGACGATGAGACAAGATACAAAAGCTTGGGTGCAAAACAGAACATAAATATTCAAACGGGAATCCCGATCAAAGTTTACGAGCAATGTTTCACAAACCAAAAGTATTCTATTTACTGGAAAAGTAACCAGCTAAATTTCACATAAATCTCTAAAAATGATAGAGAAGAGAGAAATAAATTTCCTATACGCTACCATTTATTAGATTAAAATAACAAAAGGATGAACTCAAATATACAGAATGGGAAGTACTAAAAAGCAGGCTGAACTTCGAAAATGCAAAATTTAATCATATATGCAAGCAACTAGTTCAAGAACTATAGCTCAAGTATTCTAGCTACTATGCTGATATCCTCAGGAAATTTACGTATCATAGAAATCACGGAAGCAGTCAAACCTAACACAAATTTGTTGATTGGTAACTTAACAAATATCTACTAAAAAATGATAAATTGGATTTGTAGGAGATATAAATTCGATGCTAGCTGACAATAAACAGAATTGAAGCATACGTATACAAATAACATTTACCAATATTTGACCAGAACAATATGATATATAACAACAATGATTGTTTCGAATTGGTGATGCTACAGCATGCACACTTCAAAAACGGGAGCAGATGGCAGGTCAAAGGGTGAAAGTGAAGAAGGTGCAGAAAACTGATGACATGTGCCTTATCAGAGCCATCATATATCTTGTGACACATAAATACACTCACCCCATACAGACACGCACAAAAGTATTCATCTCCGGTATTGGGTACATTCAATACGGTACCAGTTCTTTTATTTATGCATAAAATGATGTGATAGACCCTAAAATTTGTCAAAACTGCGAACAATTTACAAAGAATGGATCATAGACCCTTTCGACCATTGATCATGAGACAAATTCTGTAACGATTTCCAAGTGCATTTAAACATTCCAAACAACAGGAAATCACCATTACCATACTGCCATTCATTCCATATTTTAAACTACAACACACATTTGACGGAAATAAGTAGGCTATGGCTGCAAAGACGAACTGTACAAAATTCATGCAAATTTGCAATTTTGCCCATTCAAAAGTTAATTTCCAAATCTTAGGTTATCAAAAAATCAGTGAGAGTTCTTCTATTTCACATATGCACTGCTTCAAGAGTATTTAAAAACTGGATTCTAGCCCGCGTCATTTCTTCCTTCATTTTTTTTCATTATCGTACCACTCAAGACCTACCATTTGCACAAAGGTTCTAAGTAAAAAAAAACCCAATTCCATGAAAATATTCTGCTTTCGTGTTCCCTACATTGCAATACCTACCATCCCTTTTCAAATTCTTGTTAATAAGCAGTTTTTGAAATGTTCAAACTGAGCACGTCTATATTACTTGTCAGAAGATCTGAATGAAAACGCTGATAAAATTAATGAAGTAATTAGTATATATTATACAATCAAGATGCACGAAATACATCTGGTGTTAACTCTACACATGAACAAATATATCAGCTACACGTGAAAAAATGCATCAATTTCTTATCTAGATTCTTGTCCTCGTTATCACTTTCTCATATCTTTGCAATTTAAAGTTGAACAGTGAAGTACACCAATTAATTTGTGAAATTTGATCAATTAAAAATGCCATCATTCAAAAAAATCGGACCAGACACAGAACATATAAAGAGCGAAAAAAAGGCAAGAAACATCTGTTCTCTCAGCCGATAAATTAAAGCTGACTGTTTGAAACTACAAGTTGAAGAGCATGTTCAAATGATGGCAAAAAACACACGAGAAACATATCTGGCAAATGGAATGTAAAACGCGTAAAAAGTTCGTGTCTGCAACTACCCTTGCTGTAATAGTGTTAATTAGGTGAACTGCATCGCATGCGAACAAATAATGAAAGGTAATAAAAAAACTTGTTTGTCAACATTTTTTCTTTGAATTCATGCAGGAAGAAACCAAAAACCAAATTTCAATGGAAACACACATAACCTCGATAAACTGCAACAAAAATTGAGGATGAAGGCTTTATACATTATTACATTTATACATTATATATATATATATATATATATATATATATATATATATATATATATATATATATATATATATATATATATATATATATATATATATATATATATATATATATATATATATATATATATATATATATATATATATATATATATATATATTATATATATA